CGACCTGATAGACATCGACATCGTGTGAATCCGTTTGAATTGAGTGACGAAGATTTTAGGTATAAGTATAGGTTCTCAAAACGTTTCGGAGAAAAAATAGTGGGTATCTTACGTGAGGATTTAGTGCACGACCCTCGAGGATGCCCATTGAGTCCTGAAATTCAAGTGGTTTGTGCATTACGCAACTGGGCTCGCCATGAAGTAAGTGCTGTTTATAATCTTGGTGGGGTCAATGTACCTAACATTACGCTAGATAAAAAGCCAGATAATACATATTATTGTTTTATTCGTAGATTCAAGACGATACAGCTGATTTACATGGTGTGTCTCAACCAGTAGTAAGTAGGACATGTAAAAAAGTAGCGGAAATTTTGTCACGGAAGTCCCGAGAATTTATTAAAATGCCTACTACTTTAAATGAACAGCAGGAAACCATTAGGAAATTTCGCAGTATTGCTAATTTTCCTACAGTAATTGGCGCAATTGACTGTACTCACATACGAGTAAAGAAAGTGAATGCTGATGGGGGTCAGTTATATATTAATAGAAAAGGATTTTCTTCAATTAATGTACAGGTAATATACAAATATTTTAAATAGCTGTGATTGTCTCTTAATAACTTTACTTTATCATAATAGAAAATAATTTGTTTGACTATCTTATGGTAATAAATATATATTAAAATAAACCAGAAAAACATAAAGTACTAATGAGCTCTTATTTTACAGGTGGTTTGTGACGCTGACCTGAAAATCATGGACATTGTTACCAGGTGGCGTGGTAGTGTACATGACTCCAGAATATTCCGAGAATGTAGACTAAAACAGAGGTTTGAGGCTGGTGCATTCTCTGGAATATTACTTGGTGACAGTGGCTATCCTTGTACCCCTTACCTATTTACACCGCTGCTGAACCCCACAACACCACAAGAAGAAAGATATAATAGGAGCCATATCCGTACCAGGAACACAGTGGAAAGATGTTTTGGTTTGTGGAAGCAACGGTTTCGTTGCCTATTAAGAGGTATGTTTGGAGATATTGAAACAGCAAAAAAAACAATTGTTGCATGTGCTGTACTACACAATATGGCCATCGACATGAGAGAAGATGTGTTTTCTGGTGAGAGAGATAGCATTGAACAATATTCATCTGAACCTATAGTACAAAGATATATTGCACCATCAATAAGGGGAAATATTAGAAGAAGACAGTTTATTGAAACTCATTTTCAGTAGGTAAACATTTTTTTTTACATATTTATATAGCTATTTATAATTAAAATTAATAATTATATTTATAAAATTGTCAATTTTTTTTCAATTGTCTAAAGCTATGTATATATAATTTATTTTATTTTGTTATTCAGAGGCCAATTTTGGCTATAAAATTACATTAAGGATCAATAAATGTATAAGACAATTATAATAATATTTCTTTTTGATTTCAGAGATAATACCCATTTATAAAGGAAAATATTTCTGCAGAGCCGTTGTCAGCTGTCAAAGAATAACGACTACATATTCACCAATATGAAATAAATTCAGGGGAGTATTGTGATAATATTTCATTTATTGAGCAAAATGCTTTTATTTAGGCTATAAATGATTGTGTTTCAGGGAAAGATGCGGGGTACAGCACATTCCACATCAATATGAAGCTATATTATATAAAGATTTAAGTGCTTTAGAGATATGTTTAGATTTTTTAATAAATATCGTCCCTCCTCTACATTCACAGCCAGATTTCCTTTCCAGAGGTGCAAGGGTCCACGGGGAGTAGGACTGTATGATGACTAAGTAATTAGGTTTAGTTTTTTTTATTATAGTTTTTTACTATTGTATATTATATTTCATTGTTATGTAAATAAAATGCATATTAATTATAATTATTTATTTTAATTATTAATAAAAGATGTACAAATATTTGCAGCAATTTAGTACCTGAAAATAATTGTTTCATATATGAGGATATTTACAAACATGTATCTGATATAGTCTCAAATATTTAGTTTTTTTTATAGGATAATGGTGATAAACACAGTCTACCACACACACACATACACACACACAGTCCATCTGATGTTAAGTAACTGCTGTGGTGCATAGACGTCCACATCTATCCTCGACTACAAATCAAAATGCAGATGCGTTGTCACCCGTGTGGAGTAAGATGGAATGCCTCGTTTCCTGTAAAAGAGGTCTCTCTCATACAAACTTTGTACAAAAATTTATCGAAAATTTGTCAATAAACAAGTTTAAATGTTTTATTAAAGAAAAATTTTATAAAAAGGTTATTATAATATCAAAGAATACATAAATGAGAATATTGGAAATACTGGAATTGAGGTGATCGCCACCATGGTGGTTCTATTAAAATTCATTTAAAAATTGTACAAATAAAATTATTGTTAAGAGAAATATGTTTATAAAAAAGTCCCGCTGGGTTTCTTACTAGTATTTAGTCTTTCAATAAGTATTCTGTAATAATCTATATTTAATAAAAATCATTCTATTCTATTCTCATTCTATAAACTCACCATAATAAACACAGCAGCATTAAGTTGCTATTTAACTTGTGTTTTTCTGACTTTCTAATAAAAATATTTGTAACTCTAATTTTCTAATTTTTAGGTTAGCTATTTTAATATTGTATTTATGTTCCTCTTCCATCATTTCCAGTTGTCTTTTTTTAAAATCTGTGTTACTTTTTACAATTGTTTGGTGTACATCTTCTCTTCTGTAAAATGAAATGGAATACTTAATGTAAGTTTTGTAGTTATTTTAGAAATTTACAAAGTATTCTAGAGTAATAAAAGTGCACTTAACCTTGTACACCAATTAAAGAAATATTTTTTAATTATTTTTAAATCAATTCATATTAAACTTTGCTTTTAATATTTGAAAACATGAAACAATTTTCAGTGTTTAAATACTAATTTTCACATTTTAAAAAGTATGTAATGTATCAGACTATGTAATTTTTTCAACATACCTATTTTGCAAGCTATTTTTCCTGTTTTTAATTTTTGTTATACCCCTAGTAATAATATCTTTATTGTTGGTTATTTTCACCATTTTGGCACTTTCTTCTGTATCTGTAGTTGGATCTATCTCTAAAAATTAATATAAATATAACAGTTTTAGAAAATTAACATTTATAATATTTACAAACTTGTATGCATATGATTGTAACTATAATAATAATATATTTTGCTTTTTAATAAATATTCAATCAGTATTATTTACCTTGCACATATACAACATTGGGTTCTGGATTTTCTACATTTTTAACTATAGCTGTGTCTGTTTTTTCAAAATTAAGGCGAGGCTTAGGGTCAGCAACTTCTTTTGATGTTGTAGCCACAGTCACTGGATCCTAAAATAAATCATTAAAACATTTATTAACATGTTTTCCTGTCACCTGTCATCTCTATTTTGCCCTTTATTGAATCAGGTATTTTCTATGTTGTAGAAATATTATTATGATCCAAGACAAAAGGTAATTTAATAAATTATTAATTATAATACCTAATAGACAAAAATAGAAAATTATAATCGGACTGTGTAGATAATCTAGTAAAATGTGTGTTATGATATTATATAGACCACTATATATGAATTTGTGACATTTCAATTTTGAATATAATTAATTATAAAGAAATTTATGTTAAATTGTTACTAAGTATATTAAATTTTGAATATTCGGAAAATAATTTTGGATTGTAAATTGTATGCTTTAAGAGTAGATTTCAGAGCACTACTTAGGTACTAAAGTAATGGAAAATAAAGTTCTTTAATTTTAATTAAATTTGTAAGACATGTAAGTAATTTTATTTACCACTGCATCACTATCATAATTATTTACTTCAACGATAAAGTCGTGAGGGGCAATGGACATTATTTCCAAGTCCTCAAGAGAAGGTGATGGAGGTTTTCCGCCACCCCCGGTCTTTGATTGTTTCCTCCTATATGTGTATAAGTTTGATTTAGCACACAACTTCGTTCTTTTCCAAGATAATTTCAATTCACCATCTGATCGGCGTTTACCTGTTATCTCATTAAATCTAAAAAAAAATACGAAATCACGTAAACAATACCATACCTATTTGTACACATAACAAATGCGATAAGTACTTACTTATTAGTTATATTCTTCCACTCTTTTATTTTTTGAATATTTACCGATGTTTTTGTCGACTTATTCTCTATTATATGTGCTGATTGTGAAATAAGTGTACGTAATATTTCCTATAATAATAAGAACATTCCTTTTAGTTGAAATAAGGATAATAGGAGGATAAGAGTATTGCTACGTACTGACAAATTTCGATATTTCACTAACTTTTTCTTCAGAACTCCAATTTTCACCCCGTTTTTTCTTTTGTTCCATTATTATATAAATATAACTGTAATAGCAAGTACTTAATTAATTATTAATAATTTAATTTACTTATTATAAGGCTGCAATATAAACTATTTTGAACGTCTCAAATCCCGCGCTCGCGTTACCTCTGTAATTCACTACATTTCACGCTAGAGTTGTTAAACTGAAAACAACTTGATATAATCAAAAGCGCGTCAAAAGTATATGTCGTGCTTGTTCAATAGATTTTAACGTAAACAAATAACAATGTATGATATGTTTTTGTATTGATGGATAATTATTTAAGCATAATTAAATGTGAAAATAATATTAATATTTTATGAAACCGAACGTTGCATTGAATGAAACCTGTATGAACGAATGATAGAGTGTCATTTTTTGTTTTTTATCTGTGAATGATATTTAATATAATACTAACGTTGGTATTAACTGGTCCTCGGGTAGTCTGCGTTTTGTAATAAGCACACGTTTTAGTGCTGGTATTAACTAGAATATTGTAACAAACCTGGACTTCTTACTCCTAAACTTAACCCAGTACTAAAACATTTTTTTGGAATAAGACTTATACAGTCTATCATTCGTTCATACAGGTTTCATTCAATGCAACGTTCGGTTTCATAAAATATTAATATTATTTTCACATTTAATTATGCTTAAATAATTATCCATCAATACAAAAACATATCATACATTGTTATTTGTTTACGTTAAAATCTATTGAACAAGCACGACATATACTTTTGACGCGCTTTTGATTATATCAAGTTGTTTTCAGTTTAACAACTCTAGCGTGAAATGTAGTGAATTACAGAGGTAACGCGAGCGCGGGATTCGAGACGTTCAAAATAGTTTATATTGCAGCCTTATAATAAGTAAATTAAATTATTAATAATTAATTAAGTACTTGCTATTACAGTTATATTTATATAATAATGGAACAAAAGAAAAAACGGGGTGAAAATTGGAGTTCTGAAGAAAAAGTTAGTGAAATATCGAAATTTATTTGTCAGTACGTAGCAATACTCTTATCCTCCTATTATCCTTATTTCAACTAAAAGGAATGTTCTTATTATTATAGGAAATATTACGTACACTTATTTCACAATCAGCACATATAATAGAGAATAAGTCGACAAAAACATCGGTAAATATTCAAAAAATAAAAGAGTGGAAGAATATAACTAATAAGTAAGTACTTATCGCATTTGTTATGTGTACAAATAGGTACGGTATTGTTTACGTGATTTCGTATTTTTTTTTTTAGATTTAATGAGATAACAGGTAAACGCCGATCAGATGGTGAATTGAAATTATCTTGGAAAAGAATGAAGTTGTGTGCTAAATCAAACTTATACACATATAGGAGGGAACAATCAAAGACCGGGGGTGGCGGAAAACCTCCATCACCTTCTCTTGAGGACTTGGAAATAATGTCCATTGCCCCTCACGACTTTATCGTTGAAGTTAATAATTATGATAGTGATGCAGTGGTAAATAAAATTACTTACATGTCTTACAAATTTAATTAAAATTAAAGAACTTTATTTTCCATTACTTTAGTACCTAGGTAGTGCTCTGAAATCTACTCTTAAAGCATACAATTTACAATCCAAAATTATTTTCCGAATATTCAAAATTTAATATACTTAGTAACAATTTAACATACATTTCTTTATAATTAATTATATTCAAAATTGAAATGTCACAAATTCATATATAGTGGTCTATATAATATCATAACACACATTTTACTAGATTATCTACACAGTCCGATTATAATTTTCTATTTTTGTCTATTAGGTATTATAATTAATAATTTATTAAATTACCTTTTGTCTTGGATCATAATAATATTTCTACAACATAGAAAATACCTGATTCAATAAAGGGCAAAATAGAGATGACAGGTGACAGGAAAACATGTTAATAAATGTTTTAATGATTTATTTTAGGATCCAGTGACTGTGGCTACAACATCAAAAGAAGTTGCTGACCCTAAGCCTCGCCTTAATTTTGAAAAAACAGACACAGCTATAGTTAAAAATGTAGAAAATCCAGAACCCAATGTTGTATATGTGCAAGGTAAATAATACTGATTGAATATTTATTAAAAAGCAAAATATATTATTATTATAGTTACAATCATATGCATACAAGTTTGTAAATATTATAAATGTTAATTTTCTAAAACTGTTATATTTATATTAATTTTTAGAGATAGATCCAACTACAGATACAGAAGAAAGTGCCAAAATGGTGAAAATAACCAACAATAAAGATATTATTACTAGGGGTATAACAAAAATTAAAAACAGGAAAAATAGCTTGCAAAATAGGTATGTTGAAAAAATTACATAGTCTGATACATTACATACTTTTTAAAATGTGAAAATTAGTATTTAAACACTGAAAATTGTTTCATGTTTTCAAATATTAAAAGCAAAGTTTAATATGAATTGATTTAAAAATAATTAAAAAATATTTCTTTAATTGGTGTACAAGGTTAAGTGCACTTTTATTACTCTAGAATACTTTGTAAATTTCTAAAATAACTACAAAACTTACATTAAGTATTCCATTTCATTTTACAGAAGAGAAGATGTACACCAAACAATTGTAAAAAGTAACACAGATTTTAAAAAAAGACAACTGGAAATGATGGAAGAGGAACATAAATACAATATTAAAATAGCTAACCTAAAAATTAGAAAATTAGAGTTACAAATATTTTTATTAGAAAGTCAGAAAAACACAAGTTAAATAGCAGCTTAATGCTGCTGTGTTTATTATGGTGAGTTTATAGAATGAGAATAGAATAGAATGATTTTTATTAAATATAGATTATTACAGAATACTTATTGAAAGACATTTTTTATTTACCACTGGTTCGGAAAATACCTCAGTCCTGGGAAGAACTAGTAAGAAACCCAGCGGGACTTTTTTATAAACATATTTCTCTTAACAATAATTTTATTTGTACAATTTTTAAATGAATTTTAATAGAACCACCATGGTGGCGATCACCTCAATTCCAGTATTTCCAATATTCTCATTTATGTATTCTTTGATATTATAATAACCTTATTATAAAATTTTTCTTTAATAAAACATTTAAACTTGTTTATTGACAAATTTTGGATAAATTTTTGTACAAATTTTGTATGAGAGAGACCTCTTTTACAGGAAACGAGGCATTCCATCTTACTCCACACGGGTGACAACGCATCTGCATTTTGATTTGTAGTCGAGGATTGATGTGGACGTCTATGCACCACAGCAGTTACTTAACATCAGATGGACTGTGTGTGTGTATGTGTGTGTGTGGTAGACTGTGTTTATCACCATTATCCTATAAAAAAAACTAAATATTTGAGACTATATCAGATACATGTTTGTAAATATCCTCATATATGAAACAATTATTTTCAGGTACTAAATTGCTGCAAATATTTGTACATCTTTTATTAATAATTAAAATAAATAATTATAATTAATATGCATTTTATTTACATAACAATGAAATATAATATACAATAGTAAAAAACTATAATAAAAAAAACTAAACCTAATTACTTAGTCATCATACAGTCCTACTCCCCGTGGACCCGTGCACCTCTGGAAAGGAAATCCGGCTGTGAATGTAGAGGAGGGACGATATTTATTAAAAAATCTAAACATATATCTCTAAAGCACTTAAATCTTTATATAATATAGCTTCATATTGATGTGGAATGTGCTGTACCCCGCATCTTTCCCTGAAACACAATCATTTATAGCCTAAATAAAAGCATTTTGCTCAATAAATGAAATATTATCACAATACTCCCCTGAATTTATTTCATATTGGTGAATATGTAGTCGTTATTCTTTGACAGCTGATAACGGCTCTGCAGAAATATTTTCCTTTATAAATGGGTATTATCTCTGAAATCAAAAAGAAATATTATTATAATTGTCTTATACATTTATTGATCCTTAATGTAATTTTATAGCCAAAATTGGCCTCTGAATAACAAAATAAAATAAATTATATATACATAGCTTTAGACAATTGAAAAAAAATTGACAATTTTATAAATATAATTATTAATTTTAATTATAAATAGCTATATAAATATGTAAAAAAAAATGTTTACCTACTGAAAATGAGTTTCAATAAACTGTCTTCTTCTAATATTTCCCCTTATTGATGGTGCAATATATCTTTGTACTATAGGTTCAGATGAATATTGTTCAATGCTATCTCTCTCACCAGAAAACACATCTTCTCTCATGTCGATGGCCATATTGTGTAGTACAGCACATGCAACAATTGTTTTTTTTGCTGTTTCAATATCTCCAAACATACCTCTTAATAGGCAACGAAACCGTTGCTTCCACAAACCAAAACATCTTTCCACTGTGTTCCTGGTACGGATATGGCTCCTATTATATCTTTCTTCTTGTGGTGTTGTGGGGTTCAGCAGCGGTGTAAATAGGTAAGGGGTACAAGGATAGCCACTGTCACCAAGTAATATTCCAGAGAATGCACCAGCCTCAAACCTCTGTTTTAGTCTACATTCTCGGAATATTCTGGAGTCATGTACACTACCACGCCACCTGGTAACAATGTCCATGATTTTCAGGTCAGCGTCACAAACCACCTGTAAAATAAGAGCTCATTAGTACTTTATGTTTTTCTGGTTTATTTTAATATATATTTATTACCATAAGATAGTCAAACAAATTATTTTCTATTATGATAAAGTAAAGTTATTAAGAGACAATCACAGCTATTTAAAATATTTGTATATTACCTGTACATTAATTGAAGAAAATCCTTTTCTATTAATATATAACTGACCCCCATCAGCATTCACTTTCTTTACTCGTATGTGAGTACAGTCAATTGCGCCAATTACTGTAGGAAAATTAGCAATACTGCGAAATTTCCTAATGGTTTCCTGCTGTTCATTTAAAGTAGTAGGCATTTTAATAAATTCTCGGGACTTCCGTGACAAAATTTCCGCTACTTTTTTACATGTCCTACTTACTACTGGTTGAGACACACCATGTAAATCAGCTGTATCGTCTTGAATCTACGAATAAAACAATAATATGTATTATTTGGCTTTTTATCTAGCGTAATGTTAGGTACATTGACCCCACCAAGATTATAAACAGCACTTACTTCATGGCGAGCCCAGTTGCGTAATGCACAAACCACTTGAATTTCTGGACTCAATGGGCATCCTCGAGGGTCGTGCACTAAATCCTCACGTAAGATACCCACTATTTTTTCTCCGAAACGTTTTGAGAACCTATACTTATACCTAAAATCTTCGTCACTCAATTCAAACGGATTCACGCGATGTCGATGTCTATCAGGTCGCCGAGTGGTGTCTAGCATGTCCAAATCTTCTAAATCCATCAAGTCAATCATGTTAATATCCATTTTTAACGATTTTAATAACACCAAATGAAAACAACGCTCACCTCAAATTAAGAAGTACCGAAATTGAGGTTAGTATAGAGTACCACAAACTATATAGAAAGGTTAGTACCATAGCTAAACTAGGGGTCTCGAAAGATTAACTTTAATACCATAGATAATCCTTGAACCAGAGATAATCTTCGTTTTGTAATAACGTTTTTCTTAGTTTATGGTTTAAATATATTACTAACTCCAGTACTATATTAAGTCCGTGTTTTGGAATAAGGCGGATAATGTCAATAGATTTATGAGATTGTGATAATTCCGTTAGCGTCAAGTCTATAATGTCAATTTTGTTTAGTAAACCAGCTATATTTTGATGAAGAAGTCGAAAAGAGTTGTGTTTATTATCGTTCCTAACGAAAAAGCTGATCCGTGTCTTTTTGTGTACAGACGTACTTTTTTACTGTCTTAAAGTAGTATCGAATCGTGCCTTTAGGAGGTTCCACTTTTTTGTTAATAGAGATTGAAGCCTCATTAGCTGTTTTATGTTTTCTAAGACTTCTAAAATAGAAAGGAATAGTGCCTGGCTTTGCGGTTACATTGGTTTCCAGTGACCTGCAGTTAGTTTTTGGTATGCCATTATTATTTTTTGAATTACATAGAAAATACTTTTTGTAGTCAATGGTGTCAATTACATTATTAACTCTACGATACGGATATATACAACTATAACTTAAATCTAGGTAGTTGACATTTTTGAAACACTTCAAAAGAGTTTGAATATGGGAATTGAGTCTTTTTTACATTAAGATACGGGTTTTCAATTACACTGGTCAGTAATGATGACAGCTCCACGCCTATTTTAATTGGGTTCTAGTCATTGGATTCTAGACATGAACAAGCCAGTCGCCTTCTTGTAGTTCTTCAACCATAATTGACGGCTCCGTGGCGCAGTGGCTTAGCAATCAGTTGTTGCGCTGGGAGCCGCGGGTTCGAATCCCGCACGGAACAAGTATTTGTATGGCCTACAAATAATTGTTCCGGGTCTGGATGTTTGTCCTTGTGCAATTTATGTTTGTAAACTGCCTCACGACACAGGAGAAAATCCTAGTGTGGGGGTAACGTTTTTTATTTAATACTCGCATTTGGATATACAATTCCACTGATAGAATATTTCTTTGGATTTTTGTAATTAAATCTTCTTTGTGCTAAAGATGTCGCCATGTTCCGTGCTGTTTGATCGCCAATTATAACAATCCTTTAGTTTTGTTCGTTGATAGATACTGAGGGTATCGTCTCTATGGAATTGTTTGCCATTTCATGTTGTCTTATTTCTTTTGTCCCAGGTACAGATCTCAGTTCAGAGTTCGCTATATCTTCGTCACAGGGGGTATTTTCTGGGGAGGATGCTAAAGCAATAGTTTGGAGTGGTTTGTGCTTAATTTTGACAGATTTCGATGGCGTCAACTTTCGTGGACTAGGCTCGGAAAGTAGTTGTTTAAATATTTTGCTCTTTTTTGTTGGCTTTCTATTACCTTTTGAAGGTGGGTAACCTGTATATTTAATCGTTCACGATATATGTGCAATATGTGCACGATATATGTACGAACGGGATATGTGCAAAAATATCGATAAGTGTACAAAAATAAACATAAATCAAAATATTTATCTTTGTACTGATTAATTTAGGTACCATTAAACAAATACAGCAATTGTTAATGGAATATTTTCCTACAAATTATTGTGTGTATTTTATTTAATTCTGCCTAGAGATTTAGAGTGAATTGAGGGTTCCCATATCTAGCCACTCAATGTAAAGTATCGATTCATTAAATTAATCCGATGTTTTGTTAATTCATCAACATCGAGTAAACATCGATGTTTTTTGTTCGAAGAGGCGAATCTGCTAGGTTACCATTGTTTTCGCATGAGTGCCACTTTGCAAGCAGTTATCAGTGCCTCGTACATTTTTGAAAGCAAAGGTAAATTGCTTTCAGTTAATCGTCGATAGGTAGCTCCGAAGGCAGAAACGTGGGGAAGCCGGCGATCAGGAAAGTAACATTGATATTCTCTTCGATTCCCAGCAACGTTGCCGTCGGCAAAAACATAAAAGTAGATGACGTGGACATATTCTTTATTAGAATATGCCCACATCATCTTCACAACGACGCACAAAAACAGTAACAATGAACAGTCAGTAACAGATAACGGTAACAGCAATAATAACAATAACGATAACGACTGAAAACAATAACAAATTAATTAACGCGATGAGAGTTATTAGAAAGAAGTTTAAACACGTGCTTGCGCAGCGATAGTAGAAACTAATTAAAGAGCGTCGCAACGACTTTATTTAAAATGGCTGTCTGCTTTCTGAATAGTTGTCAACAACCAATCAGACGCCAAGTGTCTAAAAGTGTGCAAGTTAGTTCCTAAGAGCAATCATTTCAAGCCAGTAGTTTTCCACGTATTCCTACGCATTCCAGTTTCTGGAGGAGTTCTCTCGTAGGGACTTTATCGAAGGCCTTTTCGTAGTCAAGATAAATTACGTCAATAGGCTCTCTCTCATTAAAGTATTTGGTCCATGATGATAGGCATAATAATAAATTGGAAATCGTGGAACGATGTGGACAAAAACAATGTTGCTGTATAGGGATAACTTTGTAGTTGGAGAGGAAGTTTCTAATATGCTTGACTATAATTTTCTCCAAAACCTTGCAGACCACACTGGTCAAACTGATGGGTCTGTAATTGGATGGTTCCAGTTTGCTACCGTTTTTAAATATGGGTGTCACCAATGCTGTTTTCCATAAGTCCGGTAAGGTGCTTGTCTCGTACGATGTTTGCATTATTGTTGTTAAATAGTGAGATAAGTTGCATTTCTTCAATATAGCTACTGGTATATCGTCTGGTCCCGGAGATGTATCTGTTTTCATTTCTGAAATGACTCGGTTGACTTGGTCTGGCGTGAACAGAATTTCTTCAATGGAATCCTCTACTCGAAGTGTCGGGTCTAATGTAGGCAGTTGATCATGTGGTTCTGTCTGGAAAACACTCGCGAATTGCTCCGCAAATACCCTGGCAATTTTGTGAGGTTGCGTCACAGTTTGTCCTTGCTTGTTTAGTAAAATAGTAGGAATGCTTACTTTTGATGTTACTTGTTGTCTTATACAGGAATAAAACTCTTTTGGTCCTGCATGCAGTATTTCTTGTTCGTAGGTTGTTCGAGCTTTTCTATTTTCATTTAGTACTGCTTGGATAGTAAACGACCTGTCCAAAAATTTGGTATTATGGGCAGGCATTTTTAATGTAAAATTTTCTGATGATCTCAAAACTTTCGAATGAGAATAGTGAAGGAATTCAAAGCTATCCTTAAGATAAGAAGGATAGGAAGGACTAAACAGAACATTGTAAAGAAGTGACAGAATATGAGCATTCCGGCGAAGACGAATAGGAAGCCACTTGAGCTTATTACGAAAACAAGAAACATGATCATACATGCGTAAACCAAATATGAATCTTATACAAAAATTTTGAAGACGCTCAAGTTTATCAAGTTGCTTTTCGGTGAGATCAAGATAGCTTACATCTGCATAGTCCAGAATTAGGACAAGCAGAGATTGTGCAAGCGCAATTTTAGTGGCAGGTAGAAAGTTCCTTAATCTGTTTAATGATCGAGCAGCTGCAAAGAGTTTACGACTAACTTCCTGTATTTGAGGACCCCATGATAGGTTCCTGTCAATATAAATTCCCAAGTCTTTGACTTTTTCACTAACAGGAATAAAATTGCCATCAAAAACAACTTGAGGTGTTTGAGAAAGGTTTGATTTCCCAATCATATTCGAACATCCGATAACAATTACCTGAGTCTTTAGAGGGTTAATATTTAAGCCATATGTTTTTGCCCAATCTGATATTTGCTCAAGGTCACTATTTATAATACTAATAGCTACATCTAGTTTACTAGGAGAAACATGAGTATATATTTGAAAGATCATCTGCATATAGGTGGTAGGTAGGTAAGTAATCTTAGTAGCTATAGAATTAATAAAAATTGAAGAAAGTAAGGGAGATAATACGCCACCCTGCGGGACACCAGCAATGGTATCACAGCAAGAAGAAAATGTATTATCAATGCGAATACATTGCCGGCGCCCACACAGGTAACTTTGAAACCAACCAATCACTGTTGGAGATATGTTAAGAGAGCCAAGTATACCCAGTAAAATTTCAAAATCGATTGAATTAAAGGCATTGCTAAAATCTCATAGAAAGGATAGTTAATTTGCCATTTTCCATGGCAGATCTTATATCTTCCGTAATATTGACTAAGGCTGTGACAGTACTATGCCCAGGACGAAAACCAGATTGTAGAGGATTTAGAAGGGAATTATTGCGAAGGAAAGCACTAAGCTGATTATATACCAGGCGTTCGAGAACTTTGGATAGGAATGGCAATATAGATATAGGAAGATATTCCAAAAAGATGTAGGGTTGGGCTTTTTCGGCAACGATATGATGTGAGCGTCTTTCCAAGTTGATGGAAAAACACCACAAGAAATGGAGGAGTTGGCATGGCATGGTTGAGGATATGGCAAAGTATTGGGATGATTATGTCAAGAATCGGAATGATCATATTACGGCTGATACAGTCGCTGCTAATTGCATTCGAAGTAATGGATATTCTATCCATTACTTACATTACTCTTCTTAACATCACAAGCAGAGAATTGATTTACAGGTTAATTTAGTCGTAAATATTGCAACTTTATCGTCAATAGTGTCTGCATTTAAAACGGCTCACCAATCAATGTTGGAAGCATCTTTGCAGAGATTTTCAATATTCATACCACGGAAACTGCGTTGCAGAAGGAATTTAGACTTAAGTTTAGGTGACCGGATATTATAAGAGAGAAATATAAGATCATGGCAAGAGAAGGCATCAGCTGGACACTTTTGTCTTGTTTAAGCAGACAAGTATTAAAGTCGCCCATAATGATCGTGTGCGAGTAGGAAGATACATTTTCTAAAATATTTTCGAAGGAAGTGAAGAAGTCAGTACGAGATGAAGGACAGTAATATACACCCAGAAGAATTTTAGTATGACTAAGCTCCACCTCAATAAAAAGATGTTCACCTGCATTAGGCGAAGTTGGTTGAGATGACATATCAACAACAGAAAAGGGAACATATGCTCGGAGATATATTGCCACGCCACCACCACCGCCGACAGTACGATCATTTCTTATGAGGTGAAAGCCAGGTAAAGAATAATTAGTGGAAGGGAGACAAGGTTTAAGCCATGACACAGAAACGAGAATAGCATGAATATTCTTAGAGTCAATGGTAGCCAGCATATGTGGTAAGTGAGCCGGAATGCTTTGGGCATTTATGTGAACAACGTTGAAATTTTTGGGAACATCAGAAAATTGTGAAGCTAGTATTTCAGAGAGAGGCTGTAAGCTAGGGACACTGTCACCATCACTATCTGTAGTTAAATATGTTTCAGTATCACTAGTAATATCTAAATAAGACATTACAAAATAAAAATTTATATCTATATAAAAAAAATATAACGTATAATATATACAATACTATAAAAAAATAAGGTAATAAATTTTCTAAAACTAAAAATAAACATATAAAAAATACTTTAGTGTCCACCTGCCCGTTGAGTGTGTCGGCACATATACTTTGAGTAAATTATCTGTACAACACTTTAACAATAAATGGAAATAAATAATAAGTTTAATAATGAACTTCTTATTAAAGTAGGATTAAGTAAAAGAAAAAAAAACAAAAGGGTGCATAAAATAAACACCGTTAAGGGAAACGCAACGGTCGGTGCGTTATTTAGCATTAGGTACCTAATTATTGTTATAGCGCAACATAACCTTAAAATTGTGATATTTGTGTTAACATTAACTGTAGTATTCAGAACAAAAACTAATGACATCTATGCATTTTAAAATAATTTCACATTGTCAGTTATTAAGTATACAGATGTTTTGGCATAATAAATGGAAAGAGGGGTTCATAATTTTATGCTTATTTTATGTACATTCAAAGGTAAAAAAAAATTGCACTAAAGTTAAAGTTACAAGTTAAAGTTAAAGGCACAGACCTCCACAAATTTATCAGAGAGTTTTGCACTAAGTTTACACCAAATACACAAAGAAATAAGTCACACAAGCTATTAATTATAATTGTATAACAGTAAGAGAAAAAAATGACAATATTTAGGCATGGCAAATCCTGTACACTTAACACTTCTTCACGACGGCGTTTCGCTTGGGCTTCCCAGCTGCAGTTTTCGATACTGGTTTTGGGCTTGTCTGGCACTCAATTTTGCTGATGTGATTCAGACTGGTTATACGATGTCTGGTTCCATCAGGTTTTGCAACGTACACAGATCCATTTTTAGTCCAGCATTTGGAAATACCAAATATTTCACGGGCAGCTACAAAAAGATCATGCCGAAGCTTGGTGAGAAATTCGGATACTGTGACTCCGGAGTCTTTTAAGTTGGGATTTTGCGTACCAGACTTTATCACGCAACCCTACCTCTAAGAATTTCACTAAAATGGGTCGAGACTTGTGAGGAGCTGTTGGCCTACCCAATCTGTGACAACGCTTAATATCACTGACAGAGACGTAAGCCAATTTCAACAGATTTTGCAGAACCTTGATGACAGCCAAAGCGGTGTCTTCTTTTGGATTCTCTGGAACACCATGAAGCAGTAACATTTTCCTTCGGCTTCGCATCTCCATGCTATCAGCATTACGAGCAAGTAACTCTATCTGCTGCTGAAGACTGTTTAGTGCCTGCACTACAAATGTTTTGAAAGATGCAAACTCAGCTGCCAGAGAAGTAGTACTGGTAGATGTGCTGGGCGTTTTCCGCAATTCTTCCTCAAAAACATCCATCCTTTTATGAAACACCTCCATCAAACTGGACAGAGTGTTTTTAATTGTCGAGTCCATGGTATAGTGATAAATTGAGATAGGTTATAAAAGTGTTTCTATATCATTGTATGAAGTTATTTTCTATTGGTGTAAGATATCCGCTATCTTCTAGTGGCCACTTCACTCCGCCATAGTTGAAGTCACCTATTATTACCACAGTGTTAGACTTGGATACATGATGAAGCTGATTGAGTAAGCTGTTATGTTGGTCTATTGAAGAGTCATGCCCTCTATAAGTCCACAAAGTAGAAACTTCTTATTTCCGATTTTAATGTCAAGCCATAAACATTCGGAAGTTTCATATTTCTTGTTGTAAGTGGTATTGTGTTTTCTTGTCAAGACGTCAATTTCTTTTGAGGCATATATTCCGATTCCTCCACTACGTTTGCCTATCCTGTCATCTCGGTATAAGTCATATCCAAGTATTTTTATCATTGAGTCCGGTATATTTGTATTGAGCCATGTTTCAGAAATTATTATCAGCGCTGGATTTAACGTATTGACTCTGGCAATAAGTAGATCCAGTTTAGATGTTACTGATTGTATATTTGTGTATAGTATTGATATTTTTAGAAATTTTGGTATGATCTCAGAGACTATATTATTTGTTTTGTTAGATTGTTGTAGTTTGTTGTAGCTACTAGTGATTAGTTTTTGTGCATTAACTTTCACAATTGTTGGATGTCCACGGATATATTTTATAGTGATGTCCGTTTCTCCATCATTTATGCGTTTATTAAGTTCTTCTCGTAAGTAATTCAAGAATTCTCTTTGCAAAGGCGTCAGATCCGAGGTAATGTTTGAGGGATTACTAAGTTTGTTTCTATGGCGGAGGACTTCCAGTGCATCGCTCTTAGTGTGAAGGATAGCTTTCAGTGGCCTTGGTTTGGCACCTGCATGTTTTTTTGGAGCACCAAGATGAAAAACCTTAATTCCATTAAAATTAACTTTGTTTGTGTTAGTGTTTATTATAGCCACACATTCGCCTACGTCGTTTTCCTTCCTCTTATCGGCTATATCACTAGTTGATTCGGGTACATCATAAATAATAAGATTGCTTGCTCTGTTAGCTCTTTCTGTCATCTCCTGAATTGCTGATTCAGTTGCAAGCATACTTTGACGCATACGCAGTTGCTTTACTTCTTCAGAAAGCTTATTTAGTTTTTCATTATTATTGGCAGTTGAGTCATGGCCGATTTGCAATCATTGCATAGAAAAGTCATAACGCGAGTAACTGTCTTTAGCTCTAGCACACGTACTTCGCTAGGTGACAATCCGTGACATTCCCCACATAACAGTATTTTACAGGAATCGCTTGTTACAGATGGTTTTTTAT